ATTTTTATAGCCCTTTGAGCATAGTTCTAAATTGCTTTCCAGAATGGTTGGATCAGTTCACAACTCTGCCAACAATACATTAATGTTCCAGTTTTCCCACACCTTCTCCAATATTTATCATTTTCCTGTTTTGTCATGTTAGCCAATCTGATAGGTATGATATGGTACCTCAGAGTTTGTTTTGATTTGCATTTTTTTGATCAATAGTGATTTAGCGGCTCATCATTTCTTAAAGCATAATAGTGTTCCATCACAACCATATACAGGGTGTCAATTTTCATACTAATACAAAGATGTTTTAATTTTAATACTGTAAATTATAGATATAACTCACATAAACAAAAGCTCTTTATGGAGTCCTCAACAATTTTTGAGAGTGTGAAAGTTCTGGAGACCAAGAAGTTGGAGAACCATCTTTCTAGAGCATATTATTAAAGGGATGGTGAATTAATATATAGAAAAGGAAGTAGTACATATAATAATTGATCAAGAACAGGTCATGCCCACATATACTTTTTATCCCATGGCCAATGAGGGAATTTGTTTGGCTTGACTATGAATATTAACTACAAAGGTTTTGCTTTTGTTTTTTCTTTTTCTTTTAAATGGAGAGCAGGAAGAGAGGCAAGGGAAGAAAATAGATTTTTAAAATGGAAATAAAATTAAAGTTAAAAAACAAACAAACAAAAGAACAGGTCATGCCAGACTAACTTCATTACTATTTTTTTTGACAGAGTTAATAGAGTAGTAGGTCAGGAGAATGATGTATAATCTACTGAGCTTCTAATAAAACATTTGCCTACATCTCTATGCCACTGTTGTGGACAAGAAAGAGAAATGTGGCCTAGCTGATGCTCTAATCAGGTGGCTTTGGAAGTTGTTGAATGGTTGGTGTCAGAGTAGATGTCAACGGTCTCCCATCAATGTGGCTGGAAGTCTGTGGTAGAGTGCTCCAGTGATATTTGCTTTGCTCTGGGTTGTTTAATATTTTTATCAACAGCTTTAATAAAGGTCTGTAGGCCTCCCTCCCTGCTTTCATTCTTCAGCAGCATTTGCAGGTTGTACAGGCAAGTTATAGAGACAAGGAGATTTAGACTACATTTTCACTTAAGTAGAAGGTGAGGCCCTTTTGTATGTGGATGGATTCCAGGGCTTCTTAAACTTTTTCCACTCCCCACCCCTTTTCCCCCTTTTCAAGGCAGTGTTCATTGGTGTTGTGTGGACTGAGGGCACGCACAGTGCAAAGTGCACATGGTGTGTGTTCAGAACCCCTACTTTTGCTCATCTATCTGTATGTATGTAAACAGTGTGGCCTCTCTACTCTGCAGTTACTAGTATAATTAAATATTCTCCCTTTCCTTCTCATTGGTTTAAAAGAGCTGTTTGGAATAAACTGAAGGTAGCTGCTGAATGAAGCCTTGCAGACAAGAATCATTTACCAGCCCCACCACACTTTTTCCCCTCTTTAACCAGCCAGGATCCTCTCTTTTCTAAACAAAAATAGGCTTCAGTTAACACTACAATTTCTTTGCTGTTGTTCAGTCGTTTTTTTCAGTCATGTGTGACACTTTGTGATCTCATTTGGTGTTTTCTTGGCAGAGATACTGGAGTGGTTTGCCATTTCCTTCTCCAGCTAATTTTACAGAAGAGGAAACTGAGGCAAACAGGGTTAAGTGACTTGCTCAGGGTCACACAGCTAGTAAGTGTCTGAGGTCAGATTTGAACTCAGGAAGATGAGTCTTCCTGACTCCAGGCAGGGCACTCTATCCACTGTATCACCTAGCTGTCCAGACTCTAATTTCTAGACTTGGGTTAAGTCCTTGTTTGTGTACTACTCAAGGTCAAAGCTATGAGAAGAACTGGGAAATATAGGTTCTTCACTGCTTACCACCCTCAAGGTTGAGAATAGGAGTTAGGTGAGGAGAGATGAGTGGTGCAGTGGTTAGAGCTCTGGGCTTGGAGGATAGTTGTTCAATTATATTTGGCTCTTTGGGAACCCTTTTGGGTGATTTATTTATTTTTGCAAAGATACTCGCCATTTCTTTATCCAGCTCATTGTACAGATGAGGAAACTGAGACAAACAGGGTTAAGTGACTTGCCCAGGGTCACACAGCTAGTAAGTGTCTGAGGTCACATTTGAATTCAGGTCTTCCTGATTCCAGACCCAGTGCTCTATTCACTGAACCACCTAGCTGCCCTGGAGTGAGAGGAGTCAGGATAGACCTGAATTCAAATCCAACCTCAGTTATTTACCAGCCATGTGACCCTGGGCAAGTCCCTTAACCTCTGTTTGCCTCAGTTTCCTTATCTGTAATAACACCTATCTCCCAAGGTTGTTGTGAGGATTGGATGAGATAATTGTAAAATGCTTAGCACAGTGCCCGGCACGCAGTAAGCCCTATGGGTTAGCTATTATTATTACTATTATCAATCTCAGATCTCTCCCAAATGACCTCCTGATGCTGTTCCCCTTATTGCCTGACCTCTCAGCTCTGCTTCAGAGGAGGGCTTCCTTGATTTCCCCTTCTCATCAGCAGAAGCTGGCTGTCTCCCCGGTCTTCATTATTTTCCAGTTGGTCAAGTTAATTCTTTTATTTTTTCTTGTTGCAAGCAAATTTATGGGATGTCTGGGGAATTATGTTGAGAGACACTGTTGAAATGGAGGTGGAGGTGGGGGTTGGGGGGCGGGGCACTGCCTTTCTCTGCCATTTCAGTCACTAAGGCCATCCCCCTCCCTCCTGACTCCCTCCCCAGTTTCCTTCCTGGAAGCCCATCCATTCCCGGTGCCCTGGCTCTTCTCTGCCTCAGCCTCTGGGGCTGCCCTTATCTGTCCTTCCCAGCCTTCACCGGACACACTTTGGCCGGCTCTAACACTGATTCCTTTCTTTTCTCTCCTGAGTGTTTGGAGCAGATACTTTGTTGACTACACTGCTTGCATTTTTTAGGAGAGAGATAATCTGCCTGGGCTTTTTTCTTGCCTCCCTCCCTGCTCAGGCACAATAATCCTCCCTCTTCTCTCCCCCTTCCTTGCCAGCTCTGATTGTATGGGCTCGTTTTCTTTTGTGAGAGGCAGCAAGGTCAGAGTGGGCTGGGGAGGGGGCTGCTGTGCCCATGGCAAAGAGGTGGGGGAAGGGAGGTCAAGATCAAAGTCGGTGTCCAAAGGGAGCAGATAACTTATCCCATCACCCGTAATGCTCTAGAACAGAGCTGTTTGAAAAAAAAATCAATAAACATGTTTTAATCATCTCCTGTATGCAGAGCCAAGTCATTTGGGTTGAATCCTGTGAGAGGAGAGCTCTGGGGCTAGGGACTTAAACACTCTCTCAGCAGGCACTATTTTCAAGTTCTTAAGGTTTAGATGAATAGGTTAATAGATTGTAAACTGCAGGAGGGCAGGGACCGAGCCATATTTATTCATCCCTTTGGCTTCCTTCACTGTGCCTGCAAAGAGATGCTTAATCAGAACGTTTACAGCAAGACTCTAATATATTCTGGGGTCCAAGATTTCATCCAGTGTGGGGCCTCCCTCCCTCGATGCAGAAAGCAGCTCTCCCGGGACTTAGGAGATGGTATTTGGGAACTGCTGCAGCTGAAAAATTTATGGCCCTGCAGTCAACCTCGGGATGAGCCTTTCCAAACTTTGCTAGTCTAGTCTTTGGACAACAGACAGTTTATCACTGGGGCCCTTTGAATTGAAAACATTTTAAAGGGTTTTTAGTTCTAGTAAATTGACTTTCACAGCAGGTTTTCTCTGCCCTTCGGAGAGGGCAGTAAATACTAGAGGTATGTAAGCTAGGTGGCCTAGTGGACAGCGCACTGGACCTGGAATCAGTAAGACTTGAGTTCAAATGCAGCCCTCAGACACAGACTGTGACCTGTTTACCTTAGTTTCTCTATTTGCAAAACGGGAATAGTAGCACCTCTCTACAAGGGTTGTTGTGAAGATCAAATGCTTTACCTGTAAAGCACTCAGCATGGTGCTCGATGCATAGTAGGCAGTATATAGATACTAGCTATTAATGTTGGTTGATCACTTTTCTATGAAAATACCTACAAGGATAAGAGGTAAACCTCACTCCCCACTTCCCCGTTCCAAGAGGGCCAGTTATTCTAAGCTCTGGGACTGAAATCAAGGCCAGTGTCAAAATGGGCAGCTGTTGTCTGCACAGCCTCACTCCTTTCCTCACCAGTAACAGGGATGCTGAGAGCTTAAATCTTACTGGAAAATAGATAGTAAGTTAGTGTGGGCTTTAGAGATAAGTAGCTCAAACTGAGATAGCTAGGTAGCACCACAGTGCAGAGCCCTGGGCCTGGAGTCAGGAAGCCTCATCTTCCCGAGTTCAAATCTGGTGTCAAACACTTATTAGCTGTGTGACCTTGGGCAAGTCACTTGTTTGCCTCCGTTTCCTCATCTGTAAAGTGATCTGGAGAAGGAAATGGCAAACCATTCCAGGATCTTCGCCAAGAAAACCCCAAATGGCGTCACAAAACTTGGACCCAACATAACATTCAAACTGAAGGTGATGCTCAGCTATTTTGGCTACCAAAAGAATGTGAATTTACTCTGGAAGACTAGACTAGAGAAGACTGACTTAGTTTGGTATGGGGAATGGGAAGGGGCAGTTGGCTTTGGGGCCGAGGATGTCACATACTAAAGCAAGGCAGGCGGGGCTTTATACTTGTTACAGGCCAGATCTCTTCTAGCTCCCATCCTGGCCCTAAATGAGGGAAGTGGGGAGTTGCTAGTTCTACAGTTGGGTCCATTTTTACTCCAGCATCTCTCCAAAGATTATTTAAGGCCTGAAGCAATGACCATCATCAGGTGGGTGAGCACTGCTCTTAGGATTAATGATGGGTCCCTGTCACAGGACAGGGCAGTCATTACAGCATGTGGCACAAGAAAGTTTCTGTCTTGTTCCTGCTGGGGAGATGCTTCCTCCCTTCAAAGGATGGTGTGAAGATGAATGAGATGAGTGGCCATGACACCAATCAGTCTAAATTAGGAGAAGCATTTGCCATCAAGTTTATTTGCTATTGAGGATCACAATATTTACAAAACATACTTTGCACAATCAAGTCATGATTGCCTGGGTACAGTGGAGTTCTAGGGAAGAACGAGTCTTTCCAATGGCTATAAATGGTCTTGGATAATGAGTTTATGGAAACACTTTCTCTTTCTTCAGCAAGGAAAATTATTTATGAAGCTATGTGATTCAGCATCTTTTTCACCTCAAGGAAAGCAATATCACCCCTCATATTGGGATCTGTCATTTTACAGACATGAAATATTTATATCAGAGATCTTATATTTTTAAGTTAACATTATATATCAGAGTTGTGGTCATAAATATCTTATTTATTACCAGGGGTGAATTACAGAAGTGATTCCTTTTAGGCCCAGCACAGCAGTGCTAAGAGTTTCTTTAGGGATTAACCAGCTAGAAGCCGGATTTTGGAGGGTGTTTTTCCAAAACTTCTGCACATTGTACCCCTAAAATTTCAACCATGCCATTTCTGTCCCCCTAAATTCTCTTTAAAATAATTCACGGGATGCTGAGGAAACAAAGAGCTGCCTCCACACGGCCCAGTGACACGTCACTGATCCTTAGGAAGTCTCCTTCCAACGAAGGCTCTGAGCCCGTCCCCATCCACATCAGCTAAACCAGGGGAACAAACGATCCTCGGGGGCTGAGCAAGCCCAAACCTTAAGCCCCAAACCTGGTGTCGATTTCACAAACGACTATGTGTCTAAGCTCCCCTGGAGTAAATATACAGGGACATGGCTGTCGTGATAAATAATGAATCAGCATCTTGCTCTCTCTCTCTCTCTCTCTCTGTGAAGAATCTGCTTTTAAATTCTTTTGCAGGTGACAAATTACTACATTTTGTGCTCAAGGCAGATTTGAAAAGGAAGACTGAAGCAGAAAGTCTTTTAAAAAGGCACACATACATATATCCAGAAGCCCTTTCCAGGCTGATTGACATAAAATGTTTTGTAATCTGGACTGCAGAAGGACAGGACAAGTGAAAGGAACCATGCGTGCCCGGGGAGGCTGGCTCCCTGGGCCGGCCTCGGCAGGCTACGTGGAGACCACGCCTCTACCTGCTGCCAGGTGGGATCAGCAGCAGTCTGAGGAGGGCTGAGACATCAAGTAGGAGTCCAGCTCCTGGCGCTGATAGCAGGAAACGCTGTCCAGCACCCACTCCCGGGTCACGATGGGTGCTTCGCACATCAGCCTGATTCCTGGGGATGACACAAAGCACAAACCAGAAATCAGGATCGTGCCCTCTGGCCAACACCCTCCCACAGAAGTTGGTTCAGGAGCTTCTGGGGTCAGAGCAAATTCTTTAGTCTAAAGATCTCTTATCATGGACCTTGGCAAATTACAGTGTATACTGAAACTCCCAAGACTTTGTACACAGGACGGGAAGACCCCTGAGAGTAAAGTCTCATTTCTATGGGCAATCTTATTAATTAATCAATCAATACTTGTTCCGTGCCTACTATGTGCCAGGTATTAGGGTAGAAACTGCTTTTTTAAAAAACCAACAAGATACTTTGCTATATTAGAGTAACAATAGACAGACTGTATTTAGAGTCAGAGGACAGAGGTTCAAATCTTGGCTTTTCCACGTTCATTGGAAAGAGCCCTGATGGGAGGCAGTGTGTGACAGAGGAAAAAGTGATGACTCAAGTCAGAGGTCCTGGATTAACATCTTGCCTCTACTGCATCTGTACGACCTGGAGCAAATCACTCTACCTACCTGCACGGGTTTCCTCATCTGCAAAATGAAGGGGCTGGACTAGATGGTCTCTGGGGTCCTTCCCAGTTCTAGACTGGAGGTCCTGTTACTATGGTGTGTGTGCTCACGTGCATGTGTGTGTGCCTGTGCACCTTACCCTGAAAACTGCTGTCATCTTCCCAAGCGTCAGGCTGCACAACCACGACTGGAGAAAAACCCTGTGATCCCAAGAGGAAAAAAAAAAATTACACACACACACACACACACGTATGTATGTATGTACATATGTATGTATGTTAAAGGGGAGGGGAAAGAGGAGTGGTCCCACCATGCCACTCCGTGGTCTACCTGTTAGGAAACAGTTTGTGGGTAGCTCAAAGGTGAGTAAAAAAGCAGACATGTCGTGGGAGAGGAGCTAACTTGCAGGTCAGTGAATTTGACCTCGAGATGATGTCTGTGACCCTGCTCAGGAGACCCCACGTCTATGGTGCTGGCCTGCTGATGAGCGCTGTGATCACTGCCCCCACTTTGGGCCTTGGTTTCCTCCCCCGTCCAATGAGGAGGCATGACCAGCTGACCTCCAAGGCACCTTTCCCACCTTCACGATCCTAAGGGTTCTTAGAGCAACGGTTCTTCAAGCTCAGAAAAACTTGGGGGCGGGGGAAGAAGAGGGAAGGGACATTTCTGAGCCAGAAAGGGGCCCATGAGAGTCCACGGGAGATGAATCATTCCTGCCTCCCTTCTGCCATGAAAGCCAATGGTATGTCTTGTCCTCCTGGCTAACCCCAACCCGAGCCCCTTTCCTCTGACACACAATACTCACCACTCTGGGCCTCAACGAGGAAGGTTTCTTCACTACCGAGGCCCCGCAGAGCTGCACCATCCACTCTAAGTGATCTGCATGGGACACACAAACCATACCATTACAATGTTCACATTTATTAGCCCCATCACTTCCCATAAGCCTTTGTTCTTTTAACCCTATTTCTGCTCTTGTTGTCAAGGAAGAAGTCCCCTCACACATCAGGATCTCCTGCCTTTAAGAGGACCTAGCAGCACTCTACTAGGGGACGAGGCTCAGCACACTTTTGGAGAATCAACACCCCAAACTCTTAGGAGGTACGGGGTCAACTCTCCCGGTTGAGGGCTGTCTGCTGCACAAGCCGCACCAGTCGACTTCTTGTTATGCCATCTCATTAGTGCTAATCACCTAGGCTGCTCAGGAGCAAACAGTCCAAAGAGACCCATTTGGCACACTCCCATCCCCTGACGACTCTTACCCATCTAGTCTATCCCAACCCATTCCGTCACGTCCTCCAGACCTCCTGTTCTAGTGACAGAAAAACCCTTCAGCTGACATTCTTTGCCTCTTTCACAGTGTGTCCTCTTTGGAAGACGCCACATTTCTTGAAATACTCTTCACTGAAGGAAGAAGTCTGTCATGATAGTCTGTCTAGTTTAGGGGTGGGGAACCTGTGGCCTTCTAGGTCCTTGGGTGCGGCCTTTTAACTGAGTCCAAGTTTTACAGAACAAATCCTTTTATTAAGGGGATTTGTTCTCTGAAGTTTGGATTGAGTCAAAGGGCCGCACCTGAGGACTAGAGGGCTATGTATGGCCTCAAAGCCGCAGGTTCCCCACCCCTGGTCTGGTTGCTCTGACTTCCCACAACGAAGGAGAATTAGCCTTGGGGACAAGCCGTCATACAGGCATGCTCTTTGGAGTATGAACATCCCAAGTTCTAATGAATTCTAGAGTGAATTTTTGTCTCTCTCACTCACTTCCCCTAACAGGGCTGGAAAGAAGGATGAACAATGAACATACATCTTGCTCCCCGCTGTTACTTCTTGACTATTCCCATTACCAATCATCAGTGACCTTTCATCTCTCGAGGTTTACGCTCCTTTAAAGGTACACACCTATTCGACATTTTTTCTAGCCTCATCATCCCTTATTCCCTCAGTTGTTTTTTTAAGTGATTTGATCATCTGGCTTGGGGTTATCCTCTCTTCTCCAGCCACACACATCACATCATCTCAGAATGGGAAGGGAGATAGAAGCCCAAGTCAGACCAATACCCAGCTAATGCCTTCTGAAATAATGCTGACAGGTTGTCATCTGGTCTTTGCTTAAAGATTTCTGCTGAGAGAACTCCGTACTTCTTGAATGTCTTTTGAACAATTCTAATTGGGGTCATAAATTCAAAACTGGAAGGCATATTGGAGGCCATCTGATCCGACCCTTTTATTTTACAGATGATGAAATCGAGGCTCAGAGAGATGAAGTGACTTAACAAGGTCATATGGGCAGTAAAGTGGCAGAGAGGTCCTTTGGCTCTAACTCATTCAACTGTTAAGTGACAGAGTCATTTGATTCCAACTCCTCTAAATGACAACCCCAAGACTATCAATTCTTTAACCACCAACGCCATCCTTCTCTCCACTTCAACCACATCATGGCGGTCACACTTCAGACTCCAGATTTACACCGCCAGGCCCATGACCTGCTCTCTTTTTGGCTCTTACTATATTTACACTCAGTCTACTCTTTTCCCTTATTTCAATCTCATGTCCTTTTTATCTTTCCAGTCCATTTCAACTCATTATGATTTCATTTGCCCATAATCCTAGAACTACATGGTCCGCTATTTTTATGTTTCACTATTCACTACCCTGGAATCTCAAGGATCCTTGGTCTTTCATCACACACTCTCCTTCCCTTGACCACAGGGGTCAATCCTGTGGCCTCATCCAGGACCTGTCTATGCATACTCTAGTAATCACTTCCTCTTTCTCACACATCTTCTATCTTTGATTTTCCAGCTGTTCCTGGAAACATGTTAAGGTCTCCCTAATCCCCCCAAAGCCCTCCTTTGATGCCATTCAATTATCACACCATCTCTTCTTCCCCCCTTTATTTTTATTTTTTGCCAAGGTTGTCCGCAATTGGTGCTTTCATCTAGTAATTACCCATTAATCTCTTCAACCCCTTCAATCCGGCTTCCACTCCCTCTGAAACTGCTCTCTCAAAAGATCATGAATTAGTAATTGTCAATTCTGATAGCCTTTTTTTTTTCATTCCTCATCTCATCTGACCTTCATGTTGCTTTTAACAGAGCCAACTGTACCCTCCTACTAGATACTCTCTTGGTTCTTTTATTAGCTCCCTAACTTCTCTATTCCCTTGAGGGGCTCCTTAGCTTTCTGACGTGGTGTCTTCTTAATGGGACACTCTCTCTGGTCCTCCCTCTCTTTTCTCTATCATCTACCTTGGCACCATCATTTTCTCCCAAGGTTTCCACCACCACCTGCATGTTGATGTCTGTAAGCCTGAGTCTGTTCTGTGCTTGACTTGCTTTGGATGTTACGGGGAGAGGGCTCTGTGACTCTTAGAATGTTACATGACTCTAAGTTGTCACCCCCATTACTATCTCTGGCCAGCTATCTGTATGTCCAGGACATCGCCATTAAGATATTCCATTAGCACCTTGAATTTTATACATCCAAAACATGCCTGCTGGTCCGTGGGCTGGATTCTTTCTGTGCTACCATCGTCCAACCAGCCGTCCACATGTCCAGCTCTGGTTCTTCTCATTCCCCACTGCCTTTCACATCCAAGGCCCTGCCAATCCTGCTTCTGCGATAGCTGTCACCTCCTCTCTGCTCTCTCACTGCCTGCCTGGACAATTATTGCAACAGCCTCCTCCTACCCAGTCTTCTGACTCTGCTCTTTCTCCCCTCCAATCCATTCCATCCTTCATATGATCTTTATTACGTGTAGATCCCGTCATGTCGGTTCTCGGTTCATCTGAGGAGTATGGCTCCAAAGGGTCTTCAGATGAAGGTTCAAACTTTATTGTGTGGCATTCAAACCTCTTCACCATCTGGAGCCCCCTTCCCTTTCTATTCTTTTATCATGAACTTCCCCACAATAAGCTCTAGCCAAGCTTGTTTACTCTGTTCCCTGAACACAGCACATGACTTCTCCCTCCGTTTCTTCTGACCACACTGTGCCTTGTGCCTGCGATGCTCTTCTCCAGGATACCTGCTGAATTCCCACCCATCCTTTAAAGCCCTTAAATGCCATTTCCACTAGGAAGCCTTCCCTGATCTCCCCTTTCAGGAATAACCTTCCTGTCTGTACCTTACATAGCACATTTTGCAACTCTCTAGTGCATTTATAATGCAATGTTGCATATATATTACAGCTCTGTGTTTGTGTCTTGTCCCTCTGCTAGTCTATAAGTTGCAAGAAAGATAAAATTTATCCAAACCTTGTGGCTTTTCTTCATTTCCTTGTATATTTTTTTTCCAGTACCTAGTCTAGTGATCTCTAAATAGCAGATACTTAACAGGTGTTTGTTGAATGAATGAATGGGACCATTTCAATAAAAGATTTCCCACACCCCTTTCTGGGTGGAGGGACAGAACAGCCCTGAGCTGGACAGGTCATGTGGAGTCTAACACTGCTCCATCTCTGAGGGCTATCTGACCCGGGGCACTCTCTCTAGGCCTCAGTAAGGGATGATCACTCACTGAATTGGAGACTGCTTACCAAAAGCATGAGCTTCTTTGAAAGAAGGAAGTGAGTTAAACCCTGGAAACTCTACTTATAAAGCTAGCAGGGTCTAATTTTAAAAGGTGGAGTATGTGATGAATGCAGAGATTCAAGAGCTGATACCAGATTTGACAATCTCTCATGAATGAGATACTTGAAAAAGAAAAAAAAAATCCAAGATAATTTCTATTAATTTGCTAAATCACTGGCTAAGAAACCATGGAGAAGAAAAAAAAAGGCAACCTTTCCTCCTAAGGCTGAGTCAGTAATTGATAATCATGGCAGTAGAGAGCACCACACTCAGCAGCAATTACTGCAAATGTCAAGAGACAGGAGGATAATTCATTCAGTCAAAAAATAAACGCTACCCTGGACAGAGCCTCACCATGCTAAAAGGAGTCAGAATCTACATGCTTATGGGAGAGTGGCAGCCAGAAGAGGTTTCTGAAGTCTGGGTCATTTGCAGAGGTGATTCACTGCATGGCTTTTGCAAAGAGAGTGAGAGTAAGAACCATCAAATTCAAGAGTTAACTTCTTGCTATGTCTGCATACGTTCTTGCATGAAGTTTTATGTATGCGTCCCTTCTCACTAGCCTACATTTTCCAAATTAGTAAGAAATATAAGTAACAGGAATGAGGGTCAGAGGTGTTCTAAGCCTCCAGTGTATCTCTCAATGGGCCAGCTGAGACCAGGCCAATAGAACTTCCAACAAAACCTTCCTGAAGGAAGTGTGGTGTGGTTCAGGCAAGTTTTCATTTTATAAAAGAACAAATTCCTCTCAAATGCCTTGGGGACAATATGTCTGGAAATTTCATAAAACCCAATCAATAGCCAATAACAAAGGAAACTAAAGACGAAAGAAAAATATTTAGCATACCTCTGCTGGCCTCCCTTGTTACTGGTTCAGTGTATCACTGATACAGGTACTTAAGCCTCCCTAGGCCTCACTCCCTAAGTTGAGGAAGAAGACTTCAGCTATATAAGAAGCAGATGGAATCTGACCAGGGGAGGGATATATGTGTGTGTGTGTGATAAAATGGGAATATTTTGTCTGAAAAGGAATCACTTGAATCATTACATCTGATATGCACATAATGATCAGGGTGAAATTTAAATTGAAAAATGTTCATCAAAAACATTCCCTCCAATATTGCTGCTCCAAGTTCACGCAAGGCCCTGCCCCACAGGCTTAAGTTGCAGCTATGCGTTCTTCCCTGTTAATAATGTAACAGGAAGAATGGGGGGGCAGAGGATGGTTTGGGAGAACTGAGCAGTCTGACTCTCAATTATTATAAACATCTAAGTCATCTTCCTCCCCGTTGATTAATTTCCCTTTTTCTTAAAGCAAGAATTTTTGAAAAATATATGACTTCTCACTTTTCCACTCCAGTTTTGGGTACAGGAAAATTTCTGTTTTCCCCAGAAAAACCCACATCTGGAAAGCCTCATGCATCTGAGGAGGTCTCTGGGAGGTCAGACACACACAAAGGCTAGCTGAGCCTGCAATACTCTTTTTGCCCCAGGTTGGTTGGTGCAAAGAACAGCTGTTATGAGAATGATATTACACAGACCCCCATTTTCTTACCTGTTGGCATGTCTGTAAATGGTCCATAGCAACAGATTTCCAGGCCCTTGAAGATCTGGGGAAAGACAAATGAAAATTATCAAAGAATAAAGAATTCCTTACTCACTGAACGAAGCTCTTGGGAAACACTTTTCTCTTTCTTTAAATGTGATGGCTTCCACTGTTATTTCTTAGAAACAATAAACATCAATCCAATGCCCAGAATCCTGTCACAGGTCAGAAAGTCTTTCTGGCTCTATGTATGCATTTTTTTTATGTCGATAGTTACCCAAGGGCAGTTTCATACAGTGGAAAGGCTTGACTAGGAGTCAAAAGACCTTGGCTCCTGGCCCAGCTCTGCCATTTACTAGCCTTGTGACCGTGGGCAAGTCATTTAATTTTGCTGTTTCCTCATCTGTAAAATGGAGACCATGGTACCTGCCTCGTCCTCCTCGTAGGGTTGTTCAAAGATCAAAGATGAGGTGTGTTAAAATGCTTTGGAACCTCTTATCACTCTGCATCAGATGGCATGCTCCCTCAAGTTGGGGACTTACATATTTCAGGTATATTCATTGGGGTACATGTGGCCTTCTCCAATAGAATGTAAAATCTTTTGGGGATTCTTGTCTTTGTTTCACTAGCACCTTGCATGATAGTGTGTAATTTATTTGTTACAAAGCAAAATAATTGTAGGCACCTAGTTCTTTTCATGTTTGTTCCCTGCCCCCCCCCCCCCCCGCTTAGATGTGAGCTCCTTGGGAGCTTTCTGTGTATCCCCAGCACTTGGTACAGTGCCCAGTACATTAGAATCACTTCATCAATGCTTGTTGTCTGACTGGATGACTATTTATCTATTGTGGAATAGCACTTGACCCTGTACATTTGTAACCGTTCCTCATACATATTAGATAGCAGACCGTCAGCAGAGAACTTTGCTGTAATTTTTCCTGGAAGTTAACTCTTTCCTGGCTAATTCTAACAACATCAAATTTGTTCATGTAAAAATAAATTTGGACTTTATGTAATTACAATTGTTCATTTTATCTACTGTGATGTTCTCTATCTATTTGGCCAGAGACTCTTTCCTAATCTCTATCTGTGAAAGCCATCTCTTTGCTTGCCCTTCTAATTTGGTTACGATACGAACTTTAACATCTAGGTCATTTACGCATTTGGAACTTATGATGGTATACAATGTGAGATGTAGGTCTAAACATAATTCCTACAAGATTGCTTTACAGTATTCCCAGAAGTTTCTATTGAATGGTGGGGTTCCTTTGGTTTACTGGACACCATGCTATCAAGTTCAATTCAGTTCTTAGTCCTATGTGTCTAATCTGGTCCAGGGGTCCACTTTTCTATATTTAATTAGTATCAAATAGCTTTGATTACTGCTTTGTGGTATAGTTTAAGATCTGGCAGTGCCAAGTCTCCTTCCTTTCCAATCTTTGTTCTTTATTTTCTTTGAGCTTCTTGACCTTTTGATATTCTAGATGAATTTCATTTTTTTCTACTTCCCTAAAGTAACCCTTTGGTAATTTGATTGGCATCACACTGAATCTGTAAATTGATATAATTAGTATTATTATTTTTATTACATTAGTAAGGTCTAAACATGAGCAGTTAATGACTCGCCAATATTTAGGTCCCTCTTTATTTCTGTAAAGAGTGTGTTGTGACTGCCTTTACATAATTCCTTTGTGTGTCTTGGTAGCTAGACTTCCAAATATTTTTACATTTTATAGTTATTTTGAATGGAATTTTTATTCCTATTAATATCAAATAATAGTGGCATCAATGAACATCTTTGCTTTATCCCTGATCTTACTGAAAAGGCCCCTACTGTTTATTACAGATAATGTTAATTCTTGAGTTTAGATAGATGTTATTTAATCTATTAAGGAATGGTCTCTTTATTTCTATGCTTTTTAATTTTTTTTATATAAAGGTACTGTATTTTGTCATAAGCCTTTTCTGTATCTATTGACTAACCATGTGATTTTTATCAATTTTGTTATTAGTATGATGTGCTATATTTTTAGTTTTCTTGATATTGAATCAACCCAGAATTCCTGGCAAAAATCCAACCTGATCAGAGTCCATTTTCCTTTTAACATGTTGTTGTAGTCTCTTTGTTAATATTTTTGCATCGATATTCCTTACAAATATTGGTCTATAGTTTTCTTTTTCTTGCTTTGTATCTCCCCAGTATAGGTTTCTCATAGTAGAGGTTTGGTAGAATTCCTTCCTTTCCCTACTTTTGAAAGTAATCACTCCTTTGCCTTTCTACTGAGCCCAAAGCATAGACAGCTTTGAGTCCAAAGCTCCTTCACAGAAAGCTACAGAAAACATTATCAATCTTCAAAGAGAAGAGTCTGGTAAGTCATCTTCTTGTACTGGTTTGATTGCTTGGTTTCCAAGGACACGATCCCATATCACATTATACAGGTGATTTCCTTTTATAATTTCCCCTAATCATCATTACAGAGTAAAGTCTTTTTTGAAAATATTAATTTGTGGAAGTTTAGTATGCTGTACACGATAGATGTTTAATAAATGTTTTTGAATGTTGAAATAAATGATTTTTGAAAGTTTGAAGGTACTGAAAATGGACATGTGAGAAGACATGAGTAGCATTTAAAAATGGCAATCCTATTCCTTTCTGCTAAGAGAAAGTCTCTTGGCAGAAAGGTGAAGAGGGTGTCATGCTACCCATGTCATTCTATAATATACTTACTCTCCACCTGCTCAAAAGGGACAATTATGAAAATGGTCTAAACCTTCACTCCTTCCTCCCTTTAAAGTTGGAAAGAGCTGAAAACCCAACCAGAGGTAAAAATGAATTGCATTTCAAGCTATTACTTCAATGTCACTTTATAGCTTATTGAATGAAAAGGAACAACTCTACTCTCATTATGAACGATGGATCCTATTTACACCGAATGTGCCACCTGTGTGAATGAAACACGTGCCCTAAACCACTGCCCCTAATGCCACTGGCTGGTGATGTCATGCACTCAAAGCCACTCAAAATGCGCAAGTTCTATTCAGGTGCCTCGTCTGAGCCAAATGCTACGTGAAAAGTTTAATGACTGAATATTTTCAAATCTTATGCTTGGTTGACACTCGCTGACAAGGGCCTCTGATGAGATGAGAGCTGCAGTTTGGGCTCCTCAACAAATACATTTCTCTCTGCCAGGGAGAAACCACTGTGACATTTAGCATCTTCACAGTTTCATCACTCTGACCAGCCACTTTCCATCACTGCTATCCAAAGGTCCCTGCACATGAAAAAAAAACTAACCAGGCAGCAACAAGAACAGTGTTTCAGTTAAAGTGGGGGAGGGATCTGGGGCTAACTCAACCTTACACACAATGTGGTAAAACAAAACAAAACAATTAGCCATCTTGTGCTGCAACTCTCTGGGGAGGTGGCATGACAGGAAGCAAATGACATCAGCTTCTTTTCAGTGTTGGAAGATAAAAGTCTGAAGGAATAAACTGCCAGGGCTGAGTAGGTAGAATGCTTATTTCTGAGGCTAGACTGACCCTTGGATTCCATGCTTTCGGGCCTGACTGATGCTTATCTCCTAGATCACTTCTCTGTACAGTGCCCTCTCTGTCACTGCCAGTGCCTGTGGCTACAGAAGGCTAGGATGTGCTCCAGCGAGGAGGGGGTCCATTCTCAAGTGTTAAGCTGTGCTCCCTCAAAAGAGACAGAACTAAGACATCATGGTTGAAAAGCGTGAACCAGAAACATAAGCTTTTGGCAACCCCAGAAGAGTGGGTGCCTTAGGTCTGAAGCACAGGAGAAATACCATCAGGCAGTCACCGTGACAAAGAAGCATCTTCTCGGTAAGATAGGAGTCATCTTGGCTATGCTGGCTTCTTCTTGAGTAACTGAGGTGAAATCATGGCACCTCTCTGGGGAGGGCTTTTTTCTAGTGGCCTTACCTTCACCCTCTGAGATTCTCTTGCTCTCTCTGGGCCTCGGTGGTTTCTGCCATTGATGACATCTCCTCTGACTTCAAAGTCACACTGTAAGAAAGAAAAGGACAAAGAAAAAGATGGTTCTTCAGCCTTTAGCAGGGAGTTATGTCACTTTTAGGGAGTTAAGCTTTCCTGGGCTGCTTTTGGCCAAAAAGGTCACTAAATTTGGCCACACAGAGGAAATGACTGGCATCTCCACTGCTGCAGTCAGTTCTGAGACGCAAATCTGTTGGCAAAAACAAGTAACTCGCTTCCCTCCTTACTAGGACATAATGTATTTAAATTTCCAACACTCATCTCTTCTCGAAATATTGCTTAGCATTTAGATTAAACTGATAATACTTTGCTGTGTAATGATAACAGAAATATTCCCTCATCTTTTAAATCAAATTGTATATTGCCATTCTAAAGAGAAAAGGGTTTTTCATATTCCAATCGAGAAATTTCCATGGTTAATGAAACTTGGAAGACAAAAAGGGCTTCTTGTAGTAAGGAGAATGGAAAGTTTGGGTTGGAGAAGGGAGTGAAAGAGTGAAGAAGGAGAAGTCAAGTGTCTTTGGTTATCTTCAAACCCAAAAGTGCCAACTAGTACTGGGAGACAGAAGGGAAGCCAGATAGCCTTTGTAAGTATTTTTCTGATAAAGGAGGCAGTGTGACATTGAAAAGGGCATTGGCTCTGCAGTCAGAAGAGCTGGGTTCAAATTCTCCCTCTGATGCTTACTACTTGTGTGAACCTGGGCAAATCCCTGAATCTCCATTGCCCAACTTTTCTCATTTGAATACAAGGGGGGTTGGACTAGATGGCTTCTAAGGTCATCTTCCAGCTCTAGGACAGTCATTCCTATATTATTAAAACACCAGCACGTGAAAATTCTTTGGTCACCTTCACACTCAGTCATGGAGCCAGCTGGATGGGCAGAGTGCGCTGTACAAAGTTTTTAGCAGCCAGTTGAAGAAACAAAATGAGACTAATGGCAAATGTGCCTCCACGCTTCCATTCTGAAATTATTCTTCCTCCTACACGCCTTGTTATTTACTTCTCATTGTTCTTAGATCATCAATAGCAAATATTTTCTCAAGGTAATTTGATTTCTAAATAAATTCTGTTTGCTTATTAAAAAGACAGATTTTGCTTTAACCACAGCAGTGAAGCACTACTACGACCATACAGGGAGACATACAGCCATATCTCTGCAACTATCTCAGCCCTCTTGTTCTGTAGTGTCTTTCCCTCCCTCTCCTAATTAAAGAGCTATTCCTTTTGAAGTTCTGGAGAATGATTACAGATTTTCTTTCTTTTTTTTTAGGTAATTGGGGTTAAGTGACTTGCCCAGGGTCACACAACTAGTAAGTGCCAAGGGTTTGGTCTGAGGCTGGATTTGAACTCAGGACCTCTTGACTTCAGGGCTGGTGTTCTATCCCCTGCACCACCTAGCTGCCCCGATTACAGATTTTCTGTTGTTAAAACACAAGCTCTTTGAGGGCAGAGAATAGTCATTTTCATCTTTGTATCACCAATGCCTGACACCCAGTAGGTGCTTAATAAATGTTTGCGTGATTTTTCTGTGTCTCAATTCCAGGTTTCTTCTTGCCCAGTACGTTCTGACCATTGTCGCTACCTTTTACCAGTAAGGCATTCAAACTTCTTGGCATAAGGCCTGTCTTTGGCTATTTTGTGACATCAAGGACCTACCTCAGGTAGCACTTTGCCTTCTTTAAAAGACTGCACCACCCCTGAAGAGAAGATCATAAAAAGAAAGGTCATACACAACAGAAAAATACACTGTTTTTGACAATGATTTGATCAAGAAGCATTTGCAGAAATGTGAAGTGAGAAGCAGGAGAATAACACACAGTAACAACAATGTTGTATGATGATTGACTGTAAGTGACTTGGCTATTCTCAGCAATACAATGGTGCAAGACAATTCCAAAGGACTCATGATGAAAAATGCTATCCACCTCCAGAGAAAGAACTGATGGAGTCTGAATGCAGATCGAAGCATACTATTTTTCACTTAAAATTTATTTTTTCTTCTTTCACAACATGACTAATATGGTAATATGTTTTGCATGCTTGAACACATATAATCTATACCAAACTGATTACCATCTTCAGGAGGGGGGACGTGAAGGAGGGACAGAGAAAATTTGGACTCAAAATAAAAAAAAAAATGAATGTTAAAAATTGTCTTTATGTGTAACTGGGGAAAAATACTGTTTTAAAAAAAAAACAAAAAACCCAAAGCATTTGCAGAGTACTAGTGGAAAGGATAGAATATCACCCTAAAAAGCCAGAGATTTATAAGATGTATAGCAGAGATTCTTTCCTCAGGCATGGTTGCTGTTTAATTCAAATGTTAGAAATTGCCTTATGCACATTGATTTTAGTCTAGTATCTAAAGAAAGCCTCCTTCACAGACTAAAATTGCTAATAGAACAGATTAGATCCTATTAGTTATGAAAAGAAACCCATTTCCCCAACATTGCCTGCTTATCTGAACAAAGCAACATACATTAAAGATAAAACCAATTTAGTAAAATCATTAAAGGCCTTTTGGGTATTCAGACTCAGAACTATAGAAATCTCAGGTGTGAAGACATTAAGGTTAAAAAAAAAAAAAAGGCAGAAAAACCAAAGCATGAAGGGTAGAAGGGGATGTGTGTGTTAAATTGTACTTACACAGAAAACTCACTACCCATTTCCCTCCTGCGATGCCCAAGAAGTACTTCAGGGTCCGCTCACACACAAACTCGGCATCTACAAAGTAAAAACCATACAAGGAGTTGGTAGAAGTTGGTAACTAGCCTGAAAGTCTGGCTATAGTGGGCTCAAGAGGTCCTATCCCACCAGAGAAGGGCTGAAGATTCTACCTACTCTGAGGAAGAAATCAGAAGCTAGAAGAGTCTGGACCATTACAGGAGTAAAGGGAAAAACAAGTTGGATCCCATATAATGTATTTTCTGTATCCCAAAACTATTTAGGTGTCTTCAAAAAAATATTCAAAGCACGGCCTAGGCTGATACTGTTGATATATCTGGAGAGTCTAAATCTATTTTAGTGGATGGTTATATCTAGAAGGAAGCAGAAATAATATGTGTGAAACTATAATGCTGAAATGATAATTCAAGCAATATGTGCCTATCCTAGGACTTTGATCTGGAGATCCCTAATCCTTTAGCATTCCTGCAAGGGGTACTTGGAAAATATGCCAGTTGGAGGCCAAGGATCTCATGGTTCTTTCTTTTTCCTACATCAAGGCTTCAGAAAGCAACAGCTAAAGAATAATTTCTGTTTGCTTCCTAGTATTTCAAAGGCGTCTTTGAAGAACTAAGAAAACTGTGGCAAAAACACTTAGGAAAAATGCATTTAATTAAACCTTAAGACACAACAGACAAGCCATCATCAGCAACAGCCCCTCTTCATAGAACTCATCACACTTCTATTTTGTAAAGTTTCTTGTTTAACAGCTGATAAAGTTGATGGATAATGAACTTCAAACACAGCCATCTTTGTGCACTAGCCATTCGAAAACTGGACAGTGCTGCTTGGCGTCCTTGAGAAACACCCTAATACAGGGTTTCATGATGATATGTCTCTACCTTTTATCAAGTTCATAGGATCAGAGATCCAGGATAGGAAGGCATTTTAGAGGCCAGCTAATCCAGAGGTCAAGGTATCCAACATCACATGGGGATGAAGTGGCAGAGCTGAGATTTGATCATTTTCAAGATATCACAAATCAACTTTAAAAATTCTGTTCTATCATTGGTTTATCTCCCCAGTCTCTGAACTCATGCTAGTAACTTTGTCTGGTAGAAAGGCTAATAGAATTAGTTTTTAAATAAAATTATAATTTGCCAGCTATTAGAAGGGTAGATTTGTCCCTGGGTTTATGAAAATTTATAAAGTATTCAAGACAGCAGCTTAAATCTAAGATCTTTATAGCAAAATATCTGAGAACAGAAGCATTTAGAACCCACGCTTATTGTGAAAGTCATCACGATAACAAATATCTGTTTGAGTTCAATGGAACAGAGTCATAAGTAGCCAATGAACTTCAGTTTCAAGTAAATCTCGAGGAACTGCTTTCCTAGAGCAGGAAAAATGAATTTTGACTTTTTAAGACTTCATCAACTGTCTGTTTCTGTTCTTTCCCATTGAATTCTAGGACAGGTACTTCTCACCTGGAAGAGAGTTTTGCCAGTCCATAAAGCTCTTGGTATACCTGTTTTCATTATGACATGAGTGGTCCCTTCAGTAAACTGATTAGATAGAGTGCTCTGGGTTTTCCTGGCAAACTTCTGCACTAGCATCTGAAAGCAAGCAAAACGCTGAATTACATCAAATTGCCTCCAATGTAATATTAGACAGCTTTGAGCATTAGAAATCTTGGCTTTGAATTTGCATTGGTTAAGGGATAAAAAGATTTGCTTTCTAACACAGCTGAAATACCAAAATAAACCTCAATTTAATAAAAAGTACAACTTAAGAGGAAGAAATTCTGAAGTACTCCAAGTCAGGAGACATGGAAAACACAACCAAGATTTCAAAATGGTATTGATTTTTGCCTTTAAATAGAAGAAATCACTTGACTGTCTGAGACAGTTTCTTTGTATGGTGACACTCCACTATACTACAAGTCAGATTTATCAGTCTGTAATTTATGAGCTGCAAGAAATCCCGCCTTCACAAAAAGATGCGCAGTAGTTATGTCTGGTATGAAACCAAGATGCAAGCCTCTGATGGTTACAAAATATTAGAGTCACAATGATGCTAAAGGTCAGTGTCATAACCATCAGTTCCAATACATTTAAAGAAAAGGATTGAGGGAAGAATCTCATCCTTTCCCCAAAAGGAAACTAGCATCCAGCTATTCTCCACATCAAGCATATAACAGACAATAAATAGGCAGTTTAAGAAATTAACCAGATACATTTAAAGCACAGTTGACATAACTAGTAACTCCTGTTTGGTAAATCACTTTGTTCATCAAGTGCCATTATTTACTAGCCAATGCCACAAACACTACCATTTATGCACTGAATGATATTGTGACTGAGATCAGGTTCTCTTCCTCCATGCTGTCAGACCATCCACACTGCCTCAGGGCTCAGAGAAAGGCTGACTTACAGAAGCTAATGATATCTTCCCTCCCTTTACCATTGCCCTCTGCCAGAATCATTAGCAATTCTGAACTGATTATTTGCTGAAATCCCCGCCATGCAAGTATTCGGTTAGAGCTGTAACTGCTGAAAAGATCATTTTAATGTAAGCTTTGGAATTAATCATGTGTAATACAGTCAGCTGCTTCATCATAAATTTGCCACACTTCAGCAAGTATGAATAGTGCTTAAAAGTTTTCTTCCTTTCTTTTTTAAAGACAGCATGTACCCAAGCCACTTGTGCACTGATTTGCAGCTTGGAGCTGCCACTGGCAAGAAAAAATCAGACAGTTTAAAAAAAATGTCTGAAATGCTGGGCCCTTAGAGCAAAGGGAACTCTGGTATTTATCCAATGAGTTCTAGGCAGCGTAGGAAAGTGACTGAGGCCTAAATAAACACAAATGCCCAGGTACAGGCTTTCAAACAAATGGTTTGTTGCATATGCTTAAAGACAGTCTGATGTTAGCTGGTAAGAAAGTCATCACAAAGACATCAGCCTGTGCTTAATTTATTAATGTATTAATTGCTTAATTTATTATTGCTCCTAGGGTTCTGAAGCAGGGCTTTCTAGCCACATACAAAGCCATATGCTGGGTCATGGGCTACTTCCAGAAAGGTTAGAATTAGAGATGGATCTTATGCTAGGGAAGGATGCTATTAAGACAGACAGGAAAGAATTAGCGAGCATCTTCAATCAGTTTGTAATAAATATTGCTTACCCCAAAAGCCCATTTGACACTCTGTAGCTGTCAGGGGCTTAAAGAAATATTCACTAAGTTCTTATAATTATATGAAGTGATATCAATTATGCTAAGTTATAGGGAAGGTGAATGTCCTACATATGTCTGAATTTCATCCTCAGGCCAAGCAGAAACAGGTTAATTGCATCCTTAATATTCTGGTGGGTATTTTTCCACAATAGGAAACCATTCTTGCTTTTGGCAAGATAAGCTGGAGAAGAGGCCAAATTCCTAATAGCAGGGGGTGTTGCAGGGCAGAAATGACAGGGCAGGCAGCTGAATGACTGTGTTACAAGGCAGAGGAAAGACAAATAAACATTGGACAAATGCCACTGTCTGGCACTATGTTTGGAACTGGGCTAGATTCTGTCAATTTATGCTGGAGAGCACCAAGTACATTGAGTTGTGGAGGGGGACAAAAAGGACTACCACCTGGAGAGAGGAAAGACACACCCATTTTTTGTTTAAGATGAAAAGGTTAAAAAAAAAAAACCGAACTAAATAACTTTTAATAGCCCTGGATCATACCCATACAGAGTCTAGTTGCTTTTTGCTAGCATCTGAAAAAGTGACTTGTCAAATAATGAACATGGAAGCAAGACTCAGGAAAACAAAGCTGCCTCGCAACAATTTTTCAGACATTTACAATAGAAATGACATGGTATGCCATTGTGGTGGGCTTCCCAGGGCCCTCCTGACAAAGGCTACCCTTTATCCAGGGCCCCATGATAATGCACTGTGAGAAGCATGTAATGGCACAGTTACCGGGGAAGCAGCAAAGCACCTGGTCAGATACACACTGTCACACTCACATGTTCTTTGGGAGTCAAACTCGATGCCACAAAGGACATTCTGAGGATGCCTGTTCCTCCTTTTCTGACCCTCTCTGAGGCACAGGCCTCCTCCAGCTGCCCCCTCACGCTGCGAGCAGGAGTGTTAGAAGCAGAAGTGTTGGTGCTTTTTACAATCTGAAGCTGGGATGACCTCAGTGCAGAAGTTGAGGTGGGCAGATTAAGAATATTTCTTAGGGTGGTATCCTTATTTTCCTGGGGGCCGCATTTGGTCTTCTCAGGGTATACTTTGACTCCAGATTCTGACTCAGGGGCTGTTTCTAAAGAAGGGAGGAAAAAAAAAAGTCTCATATAGGGGGTCATTATAACCTGGAGTTTATGTACTTGTTTTGTTTGTTTCTTGAAAATTATACTAAAACATAATTGATTTCTTTTGTAATCCTATGTATTTTATTTTATGCATTTAAAAACATTATCCTGAGAAGCTGTTCATTGGCTTCACTGGACTGCCTGAGGGGTTCATGACACCAAAAAGGTTAAGAACCTCTGGTCTAATCTATTCAACAGTAAATCATTAATTGCGCAAAGCAGGGGAAAAAAAGCCTATGAAGACAGGTTATGTTAAGGTTAAAAGGACGCTGCCATCTTTTTTTGCTCTTTTATTCACCAAAGTACAATTAGTTTGTGCATTAGAGTCATCAGGCCTCATTACCAAATTAAAAACAAAACAAAACATCTCTAAAACCTTTTAAGAAAATGCTACTCCATCAGGAATTAAGCATAAAAACAGGAAATTTATGATAGCCCTAAAAAGACACTAATGAACATGGCCAAATGTGGCATTTTTATGCCAAATTGCACCTTTTGTGCTAATGTGCTTTTTAGAATGAATTTAAAACTTTTCTGACTGATTAAAACTCTGATTTACAAGTCATAAAACTTGCACTCCATTAAAATGACTGAGAAGACATAAAATGTGTAGTTCATTTAGTCTCTTCCTCCACAGGAGAGAAGTGACTTTGGCTTTTTGGCTGTTTTTTCCCGGGGAGGACGGGATTCTGCTAACAATCCAGATCTCTTGCAGCAGTTTTCTTGCCTAACTGTCCAACTGTAGCATGCGTGCAGCCCCCTGACTGCTGACCCATCAGGGGCTGAGCTCACTCAAGGGAGCAGAGGGCTAGATTTAAGACAAATTCTTTTCCTTTCCTCTCGGGGCCTTAAATGGTAGGGCTCTTAACAGCCAGGTCCACCGTGTGAATGCTAATCAACTGCACTGATAGAAAAAATAGAGAATCTTCATGTGAAATAAACGAGAGCCCCTCCCCTGACTGAGAGGACTGGTCCGAACATTACCGAGGTTTGGTTTCAGCACACAAGACTGCTCCACCACCACACTTTGTTCCTCAGGTTGCCGCTGCTGTTTTTCCTTCAGGATGGCAATCCTGCTGATTCCCTCTTCAGAAGAGGACTCTACTTTTTGAAGAATCCTGGAGTGGCCAAGCAGGCTCCAATCCCCATTCAACATTTGGGACTTCAAAAGGGAAGACCTAGCAATAAGGATGGAGGGCAAAACCATCAGAACAGCTTCTGAAAGGGCTGATAATAGCTCCCTCTGGTCTCTCTAGCAGCTGCAGCAGAATCAAGCAAGAGCCATTAATGTCAGAGTATTTGGGAATGATTGGCAACAAGAGGGTTGGTGTGTTGGCATGGAAGCAACATGCCCAGATTCATGTTGCACGCCGACACGTCAAGGATGACACATGACATCTCCCTTTAGGGGGTTAGTCAGAGGCTCGCTGCCTAACAATATGTCAGCAAGTTTCACCAAATTAGCCACTACTGTCACTCACTCAAATCCCACGGACTCAGCTCAAGTCTAAATGGCTTTGCTGGAATCATCTCTCGCAGGAGCACAAGATGGAGCTGATGAGTCCTCCCAAATGCTCTCCATCACTGTACTTCACACTCAACAGCCAGGTTTAAACCATCATTCCTGCTATGTGCCTCTTGTTTGTCTCAGGTCATTCCAAGAATGGCAGCCAGCTGTAAAAGGGAAAGTTGGAGAAGCGGGGCCTACCAGTAGGTTTTTCTATGGTTCTAGGCCTTTGGGCCTGAATCAGGACTGGATGGCAATCAAGACTGATAAGGTTAATGGAGCTCTGAAAGAGCTTCATCAGCTTGGGGAAGGTTTTGGCTAATAATTCCAACAGTAGGCTGTTTGGTCCTTGTGTATCAATCAGTCTCTAGCTAGCTAGCTCAACCGCTTAAGCAATGGCAATAAGGCTTGGTCCCCACATAGGCCAGACAGCATTGCTCTGTGCCCTGGCCATAAAACCTCTGTCCCTAGCTTTAAAAATGTGTGTCATCAGTCAAAGAAAGGGATGAGAGGATGTGGCTAGATGAAAGCTAACCCATCATTACTCTACGATCCATAATCAGGAGCACCAGCTTTGCACACATGGAGCAGCACCTTATTACAGGTACAGTGCAATTGGCAAAAAACTAGAAGTCAAGATCACTGGCTCTGCCATTAATTAGGTGCAACCTTGAGTAAGTGTGTGCCTCTATTTCCTCTACACAGTGGGAATATTATTATTATTCACTATAACATATAATTATTATCCCCACTATGTAGAAGAAATAATATCTGTCCTACCTATCTCATAATGATGTAGAAGTAGGATGAGATAACATATGTGGATGGGCTTCACACAGTTTAAACACAGCATGTGATCATCATCATTGGTCTAGAAGTGATGTTCTGAAGTTTCCCCCTCAGAGCATTGTCCCTAGGACTTGGCTATATTCCCTCCCTCGGCTGAAATAATCATCCCCATGCAGAGGACAGTCTAATTTCTATATCCAGTTCCAAGCTTGACCCCCTGAGGTTTATTCTTGAATCTCTCACTACCTGCTGGATATTCACCTAAATATCCCAATGGTACCTGAAACTCATGATAATGTCAAACTGAGCTCCTCTTCTCTCTAAAATGTGCAGGTCCTCTGAGCTTCCTGCTGTCTGTTGGTGGTAACACCCTCCCACACCTCCTCCAGGCAGCTAGGTTTAGGATCTTCTTCCCCATTTAATCGGGTGCCAAGTTGTATAGAGCCCAGCTGTACCATCTCTCATGTCTACCTCTGCACCGCCACTGTTCTTGTTCCCATCTCTCTCATCTACTTTTAATTGGCTCCTCTGCCGGTAATTCAGCCTTTCCACAGCTGCCAAGATAGTCTTCCCAACCCCCAAATCCAACCATGTCGTCCCCCTGCTTGAAAACCTTTGGCAGCTGCCTGCTGTCTCCAGGATAAACAACAGACGACTTCCTGTTGTGGCCCTCGAGAATGCCACAACCCCGCTCCAAGCTCTCCTTCCAGTCTAATTCTATCCTACCCTCCCTTCACATGCCAAACTGTGCCCCAATCTCATTTTCCTCTGTCCTGACTGAAATAAACTCCCTCCACATCTGCTTAAAACCCTATCTTCCCTCAAGACCAAGGTCACAAGGGAAGGAAATAAATATTTATAAACCACCTACTATGTTGTCAGCACTGTGCTAAGTGGTTTTTTTTTTTTGCCAAAATTATCTCATTTGATCCTCACAACAACCCTAGGATGTAGGCACTGTTATTATTCTCATTATAATTTGAAGAAACCGAGGCAAACAGAGGTTAAGTGCCTTGCCTAGTGTCACACAGTAAATGTCTGAGGCTAGATTTGAAATCAGGTTTTCTTAACTACTGGCCCAGCTTTCTACCCACTGTGCTACCAGCTGCCTTCCTGCTATTTCCTCTGGTTGCACACCTCTAGATGGCCAAAAGGGGTTATTTCTTCCCTTTCCTCCTCCAATTTTTCTAGAACCGTTGAAATAAGATCTCTCCTTTCCCTTCATCCCATTCTCTCTTATATTACACTTATTTGCGAAGGGTATACATTGTAGTGTACATCAGCCACTGTTCACCCTCTATCCCCTCTTCCATTAGACTCTAAGTTCCTCAAGGGCAGAGACTGTTTCTTTTTCCATTTTCATATCCCTGGGACCTAGTACATAGGAGGTACTTAATGAATATTTGCTGACATGAATCAAGGGAAGTCAGCATCTAAACTTATTTCTGGAAAACAGGAACTACAAGCAGGGTGTGGGTTGATCTATGAGGGGAGCCTTGTCACATCCTGCTACCAATCTCCAGCATTGTTCAAAATTTTAGTTCTGTTATATTTTATTCTGTTCTAATAAAGGGATATGTCATCCAACTACATCTGGCCCATGCCCTCAGATATAGTTTAATATTCTTTCCTGCACAGGGGTTTATATTGCTTAAGACTAAAGCAAGAACAAGACTAAAAGCCTATAGGTGATTAAATAAGATGGGCATTATAAAGGAACAAGAAGCTACATACTTATAAAGCCAGAGACCGTAAGAGGAAAAATAACAAATGCTCACTATAAGACAAGGAATTAAGAAATCACAGCTTCCTACTCATAGCATCTCTTTCTCTCTCTCTCTCAGACAAAATGCTTTTACCCTTCAACTCCTGGTTCTTCATTTTTACTGCTGGAATCCTCTGGAAATGCTTGGGAGTTGTATGCTGAAAGGCGTTGTGCATTTTCGCTTTTGTGATATTCAACAGTTTTCTCTGCTCCTTCAAATGGAGATGAAAACAAAATACAACAATACAATTTACTTAGTAGCCTTGTTCTTGCTGGTGATAATTCAGGTGAAGATATTGATTGTTTTAAAAGCAGCAGCCTGTGACAATCAAATTGGTTTCTAAACAAGCGTATCAGAAAGAGAAAATTAAAGTTTATAAACGTTAACAAGTGATGTGACAGATAGGTGCTAACATCAAATGGAGGAGATCGATTAAAAAAATAGTGATAACGGGCTTAGGCTGAAGCTGCTAAGTGAAGACATCTGAGCCATAGCTACTTAACCCATCTCTTTCTCTCCCCAGTGAGGAAGATGTGAGATTAGGGAGGAATTTTTGGTCAGTGACTTGACCAAAGCGGTAACAGAAGAGAAAACAGTAACTTTGATAAAAGCATAACAGCATCACCCTTTGCATTCTTACTCCTTCCTTTCCTTCAAAACTATAATGACCATGGATTTGGGACGAATTGTAGGTGGATTAGGATGGACGACCAGAGGAAAGAAACAATGACATTTCACTTTAGTTGTTCAATTATTTAAAAATACAGGGAACCCTAAAGTAATGGAACTAAGAATAAAATATCAAAAAAAAAAAAAAAAAAAAAAAAAAAAAAAAAAAAAAAAAAAC